CCTCTTAACCAGCCCCTCTCCCCGTCCATTAGTGGTCCCCTCCCTTCCCTGTCCCTTAGTGTTCTTCTAAGCTCTCCCCTCTTTTTCCTGTCCCTTGGGGTTTCTCTCCCCTCCACTCCCCTCCCTGTCCCTTGGTGCACCCCCCACCCCTTTAGTGGTCGCACTCCCCTTCCTGGTGTGCCTCCTACCTCTCTTGTAGCGTTGCCGAGTGGAGGATATCCCCTACAGGAGCTTCAATTTTCTGTACCTGGCCAGACTGACAGGGAGTGCTCTCTCAGTGAGCACCTCCGGTCAGTCTGGCCGGGTACAGGAAACAGAAGCTCCTGTACTGCGTTCCACCACGCTACACTCAGTGGTGTATACACACTGACAGTCACACACACTCAATGGCAAACACACAGACTCACTGATCTGACACACACTCATTCATTGACAGACACACTGATACTCACACACAGACTCAATGACAAAGATACTCTCACTGATTTGACAGACACTCACAAACACACACTGACAGACACACATACACTGCCACACTCATCATACACTCACATGCAGTACTCATACAAGCACTCACAGACACACACACACACTCATACAATCACTCACAGACACACACATACACTCACAGACACACTCACTCACAGACACACATACTCATGCACACAGTCACTCACAGGCACACAGGCACACATACACTCACACACAGACACACATACACACACAGTCACACACAGACACACAATCACAGACAGTCACTCAGGCACACATACACTCACACACACACACACACAGACACACACTCAAACACAGACAGTCACTCAGGCACACATACACTCACACACAGACACACACACACACAGACACACACACACACAGACACACACTCAATCACAGACAGTCACTCACAGTCACTCAGGCACACATACACACACACACACACACACACACAGACACACTCAATCACAGTCACTCACAGTCACTCAGGCACACATACACTTACACACAGACACACACACACAGACACACACTCAATCACAGACAGTCACTCACAGGCACACAGTCACTCAGGCACACATACACTCACACACAGACACACACACAGTCACACACAGACACTCACACACAGACACACACTCAATCACAGACAGTCACTCACAGACAAACAGACACGCATACACACACTCACTAATTATTTTAATAAATAAACATTTTCCACCCAGCCTCCCTACCTGGAGAGCTGGTGTGGATGATGAATCCAGTCAACCACGTAGTGATGCCCCAAAACCATTCCAAAGAAAACAAGGCTACGACCGGTCATCTTTCTGGGGTTGTTGCACGAATACCGACGAATGCCCCCCTGGCCGGTCATAGATGTTGGCCTGGGAGGTAGTTCCCTCCTGCCGGTCACGGTGAAGGGCATATTGCGTCCAACCCAGAGCCCGTGCGCCCTAAGGCAGCCGCCTGTGCCGCCTTATGGACGCGCCGGCCCTGAACAAGGGGACCACACAGATGGGGTTTCGGTAAACGAACGTGAGTGTACGGACAGTGAACAACAGGGAATAAAGGTGTATTAAGAGCGTTCATTCCGCTACATCAACAATAAATGTTACAAAATCTTACGCACATACGTGCATACATAATATTGCTGGCATGTATGCATTAACATTTTATTCATACACAGTGTTATATACTAAAGTTAGGGATTGTCAGGAATTTCAAGTGAATTCATAGTGAATTTCAATTTAAAATCCAAAATAGTTGAACTAAAAAACATTCCCCAAGTCAGCTACACGTAAAGTTGAGCTATTTTGACCTTAAATGCAAAATTCACTAGAATTCACTTTATGTGACTGCTGAAGACAGTGATGACAAAACTTAGCAATGCATGACACAGATGGACACAGAAACCTCTCTGCTTACATGCGAGTCATAGGTTCTCCACATCATCTCCCCTGACTGGTCCGTACACTGTATAAGATTGCCACAACGCCAAATGTACCCCGTTTTTTGGCAGGTCCTACTCTACTAGCCTAATGCCTGCTCTTATGGTATTAATCCACTTACTTGTGCCAGGTTTATCATATTTATGACCATATACTGTATGTTTGCAAACAGGATATAATGGTAGTGCATCATCATCATATATTATATTACTATTAGATGATTTGGGCTTCATGGAGACAGACTTTATAATGAAAAGTGGTAGTATGATTCTGAAATATCTATGAGTCAACAGTAATAATTATGCAGAGGATTGTGGGTTTATAACTGACTGTTTGTGATGTATAGGCACAGAACATTCCATTATGTAATGTAGCACAAACAAGCTGCATTATCAACACATGGCCACTTGGTGTCATCTGAATCTTCTTTATTTGTTGAGAACCACCGCTCAACACTCAGACTTTCATATTCTCCACCTCATCCTGTAAACAAGCTCCTACTATAGCTAATAGAAATCTTTGTAGTGAAAAGAAGACAGGACATTGTGTTCTGTAAGCTATGCCAGGGCTGGTTACATAAGCCCACATGACAGGACCCAATGGTTTCACACTGCCGTTCTTTATCATGTGGGGTGCCACCCCCCAAAGCTTAAACTGCCACGCATGCTGTATTTAACTAGAGTTTGCCGTGTCAAAATAAATAAAATCTTAGAAAAAGAAATCAAAGGCTGGCAACACAACAAAGCCTGTGGCATTATATAAAAAAAAAACTTAAAAAAATAGACTTTACGTAGAGACCTAGATGTGTGTGTATTTAGTCACTTTTTCTCTGCACTACATGATGTACACATCCCCATTAAAAACACAAAACCATTATGAAAAAAATATATATATATTTTTTTTTAAATATTACTAAATGTTTCCTTTCAATTGAATTCCATGAGTCATTGTACGATTAAAGTTACTAAATGTGGCAATTGCCATGGAAACCCAAATAATGTTCTTTGTTGATTTTTTTTAAGTCAGCTCTGTCAACTTCTGGGGTATTTCCATATCTTGCAAAGATTCCCAATGTTGACATTGCTGATTGGTGTACGATGACCTGGGAGGTGAGTTATACTTACCTGATTTTCACTCACGGGCACTGCCATCTGCCATCTTTAGCTCCTGGTGTTTCATCCTCCAGGAATCAACGTTAGTGCTGTATGCTTGCACATGCGTACGAGTACAACGCTAATGTATCTGAAGAATAGTGCAAGATCCCGGTAGCCTCCACAGATATCTCATGGTGAGACAATGTATTATTCCCACAGCCGTCACTAGTGACAGATTTGGGAAGTGACGAGACTTGACAGTGATAGTTCCACCTACTGTCAAGTTTTGTCGAAGTAACATTTTCCCAGAAGACAAAGTAGTCCCTACTTTATTGTTTGAAATCTTTTTACCGTGTTGGAATTTTAGAAAAATTCCAAAGAAATTCCAACACATTCTTTACAAGCATTACATCAATTTCAAAAAAAGCTTCTCAACCCATCATCCCAGTAAATATCAATGAGTTGTGTAGCTAAGGTGAGTATGAAAAGCCCTGACATAGCAAGCACATCCATGTCCAGGTCCATAAAGCTCTGGGCACGCTCATATGTACTCAATGGTCTTGCCATTCAAGCTCTCCACATGTCCATATGGCCTGATGATGGTAATGTGTACGTCAGTATGGAGATTACCTTCGCATACACCCTCAGTGGTCATGTTCTCAGTGAGGCAAGACAGTTACCCATACAATGTGAAATGAAAATTTACATTAAAAAAAAAATTGTTTTTCAAAAATTCTCCAACCCAAAATGTTTTTAAAAATTGCACTTTATAAATATTTCCAATCTTGTGATCTTCCTTACACTGGCAAAGCTAGTGGAAAATGCTCTATTTAACCCCTCTGGGACTGAAAAAGTTAAATTACTGACATTTTATATAAACAAAAATATATGTTGCAACAATTTAAACTGGTTATGCAATGTGCCCAATAATAATAATAATCCTATATCTATATCTATATCTACTGATTTTATTGTGTTCTGTATACACAACATACAAATAAATGGTAACATTACAAGTATACACACACAAAAAAATGATAAAAGGCTAGCAAGTTTCCAAGCACTCTAGGATTACAAAGCGTACATAGCGTAATTATATGTAATGGCTCGTTCAGTATGCACAAACTTTAAAAAGGCAGAAAATGATAATATTCAGCACAAATCAAGTATAATTCCATTTAAGCCAAGGTGCTGCAAAACATCTTGGTGAAGAGAGCTATCAATCAGTGTTGTATGTGCTTCAAAACAAGTGCATTGCACTGATTTTAAGTCTGATCCCTTTAATAGAACAGCAGCTGACATCTTGTAGCAGGATTTTCCAGACTATTCCAGAAACTGACTAAAATAAGCTCCAGGAAAAAAAATAAAAAAAATTATAATACGGGCAATATTCCATGTAATGACTTGGGTCTATATTTACTAGGCAGTGGATTTATGTTTAATAAGAGTAGCACAGGCTTAGCTCTCAGTGATAATTTAAAGACAGAACATTTAACCTGCTCAGATACTTTCTAAAAAAAGGTATTGTGCATCAATACACAGCAATGACCCAGGTTCTCCATCCTGTATATCTCCATCAGACAGTTCCTATTTGTTATGCTCACTGCACCTGTCCATCACTCCCCCACCCCCATTCCCCCTTTTACCCCTCAATGTCTTAATTTCCCCTAATTATATGGGAGGGGGACACACCTTTTATTTATGTCCCTTATATATTGTTGTTAATTATCACAGAAGCAGCTCTTATTCTCTCTCTCTCTCTGCCCCTTCCCCCCCCATTGCTGATTTTTTTTTTCCCCCTCCACTGCCCCCCTACACTTGTTTTTCTCAGCTGTGGGGGTGTGAGGAGTTCTGAAGATGGGCAGCCCTTTTTTTGTGCATACCCAATGACAGGGTGCCATGAAGGCGGCTCTAGCATAGCATGTACCGATCACGTCTGTGCACAGCCTATCATTGCCCTGGGGGCCGGCGCTGGGCTCCTGAATATATGTACAAAGCACATAAATGAGTCTTTCAAAGCTTAGAATGGGAGCTACAGACTAACACTGCAACAAAGCTAGCATTTCCTCCATCCCTCTGAACTGGCAACATTCTGCATTACATCATCTCTTCACACAGGTAACTGTTGGCTGGACCCAGGGACTGACTTCCCCTCTGTTCATTAGCTCTATACTTGCCTTGATGAATCACTGTGTTGTTTCCATTGTTCATTATGATGTCCCTGTACCTTCCCCATATTGGACAGAAGTTTAGACATGTCATGTTTACCTGCTGTTTTCTTTGTCACTGTTTGTTTTAGCAGGCTGTGTATGACTGCTTTTTTTTCTTCTTCTTTCAAATATGTGTGTGTGTATATTTAATGTGTGTGTGTGTGTATTTCCACCCCCCTGGGGCAAGCAGAAAAACTACCTAATTTGCCTAAAGAAATATTTTTCAATATGATTAATTCATGTTTTAAGTATGGCAGGGAGATGAGATATGCAATGGACATTATACTATTATACTCTGAGATTCTGTAGGAGCAGGTGAGCTAATGAGGTATTTTATAGAGAAGGGGCAGAAATATTGCACTGTATACAGTAGAATAATCTGTGTTAGCAATGGTGTACATTCATGTTAAATTCCATTTAAACCACCATTTTAATAATTATGTATTTGCAATTTATTTGTGCTTATACCCTATCTGTTATGATTCACTGTGCCCTACCGGTGTAACAATTGTGAATTTACCACATGGAATCATATACCACAATTATTATATTAGGGACGGTTATTATTTAAATAATAATGTTGTGCACTACAGGGTTAATATTTTTATGTTCTGCCTCTTTGAATTGAATTATGTAGATTAGTATGCTCTGTATACCGATTGTTTTTGTTGAATCACTGCACTGACTGTTTATGCACAATTGTTTTGACTATATTTCTGTGTGTGTATTATACATTTGTTTTTGCTGTTGACATCTATTTTTGAGCTGTTAATTAATCTCTGTACCTGCTCCATATAGCTAAATCTTACTAGTTAACCCTGTATGACCCATAACATAGACAAAAGAGCTTAAAATAGTTGAAATACAATGTGAATGGTTCCCAGAACCCCTAAAACCAGAGTGTGAAAATAATTCCTTACGTAATGCCTGAATGCCCAAGAGCCTCCGTGTCCATCTTCCTTCATCCTATGTGCAGGGGTGAAAGGTTAATATGCTGGGCATGCCCTGTATGTTTTTTTAAACACCTAATGGAGCTGTTGGTGGGTAGTACATATAATAATAGCACAGTGGATTCCCATGCTCTCTGGCCCCTAAATATTGTCTATCATTAAACGTTTAAAAACCCCTGGGTCTAATCTCTTAGCATGAGATTAAAGATAAAAATGGCTTTTTATTAATATTCTGTTGGCAAATAGGAAGCAGGGTAGTTTATTTCTATATTGTACATACAAGGGGATTGGAGATTGCCTGACCAAAAATCTTGGCATCATGTGACTTTTCAGTTTCTATTTGATATGCCAAGTTTAGCGTCCATTGTAATATTCTAGAATATTGATTTGTACTGCATATCTATGTATGAGATACAATTGTTGCAGACAACTAGTCTCATTGTTTTGAGCAGAACAATTAGAAAGTGTGACACTTGGTCTTCTTTAACTTTTATTTATTATTTAGTGTGTTATTTTATCAGACTGTTTTGTTCTTCCTTTGTTTTTTTTTTGGCTTTGCAAATTAGCTTACCACGGAATGACTTTATTTTACATAAAATGACATTTCCCATGTGGTGGGTGTAACATAACCTACTCACAACCTACTGCTGCCTGCAGAACATCGAGTACTTGGATTTCTTCTCCTTATATACATTAGCCTTTTCCCAAGGCCGCACAATGTGTCTGCAAGATGTTTCAGCCTAGAACACAGATGCTGTACTAACCAAGACCCAACATAATCTTTTTTTTTTCTGTCCCTTCTTTGCATAGTCCCTAACTCTTTGACAACCATGGCGACCTCAGAGAGTGCGCAGCTGTCTAAGGAAATAAAGAAGATGTACATGGAACTGCCTCAGGGGGAGAAGGTCCAGGCTATGTACATATGGATTGATGGAACAGGGGAGGGTCTGCGCTGCAAGACTCGCACGTTGGACTCTGAACCCAAGACTATTGAAGGTGTGCATTTCCCCTTCTACCAGCAGAAACCCTTCTCTTTACCCTGTTAAGAAACATAGCACCCCCTAGTTTCTATCCTGCACAGAAGCACGATGTGGAAACCTAACAATTGACTCAACAGGGTAGCCAGATTGAGTGATCTATGTCATGCAAAGCGTTGTACCCAATGATGCTTTAAGAAGAGAAAAAAAAAAACTAAGTAGATCATTTAGTCGATCTAATTGGTAGCCAAATAGACAGTACCCTCTGAAAAAAACGTTTACAAGGAACCAGTCAGAGGATTTTATTGCGAAAGAGGAGAATCGGTTAAAACTGGTTCTGAAAGAATACAAATCAAGATCTCGAATACTGTATATACATGATATCAGAGAAATAGAATATATATATATATATATATATATATATATATATATATATATATATAAACAGAAATGCATTGTATTTTGGCAGGCTTAGCATACACAATTCTTTGCTTAATCTTCTAGCAGGAAAGTAGAATTTTCTAATTGAGAGGAGGGTAACTTGTCACAATAGGAGCAGGACAACCCCTCACACACCTGCTAGCCCTGAAAACCTGAGCTACAAACACTGAGAGATTTGTTACAACATAATTATACTGCTTAGCAATTATTCTGCTGAGCAAATGATTTTGTCTATTAACACTTCTATTACCAGACAGCAAGCTTATCCAATATATCAGTTAGACTATACTGGTTTGCATTTTAGCGTTACATCACTATATATATATATTTATTTACTATTAGCATTTACACAGCGCCAACTTATTCGGCAGCGCTTTACAAATTTAAGAATAAATGAGACAATTACAAAATGTTACAGGAATAATAGGTTGACAAGGACCCTGCTCAAACAAGCTTTACAAAAATATGTATATTTTTTATCATTAAGGCTCTTAACATGATTGCCACTTAATGCATATATATTGTAAAATCATATAGTCATTAATCTATAACTACTACTTTAAATCCAATAAAATATTAAAAGATACCATTAAAAAGAAATATCTGCTGTGGTCAAGGATGTGTAGCACCCTACAATATGGCTCTAACCTTGTGCAGATTTGCCTGAATGGAACTTCGATGGCTCTAGCACATATCAGTCAGAGGGATCAAACAGTGATATGTTCTTGACTCCGGTCGCCATGTTTAGAGATCCGTTTCGGAGAGATCCCAACAAACTGGTGCTCTGTGAAGTCTTGAAATACAACAAAACTCTAGCAGGTAAGAGATTATGATCCTTTGAAATATTATTCAACAAATTATTTTTTTTAATTAAGATGGTTAAAGTGAGGTGTAGACGTTTATTATCTGTGGAATTTACTTTATCATTGGTCATTAACATACTACTGGATTTTCAATGGTTTTCAAATAAGCTAAAGCGACACATAAGCACAGTAAACATATTTATTGAATGAAGAGATGAAGTCTGTAATAGCCAGAGTAGAAATGTCTAATTCATTACAAAGACAGTCGTTTTGGAAGAATGTAAGATCTGGAATAAGTCTGCCAAGGAAAATGTAGAACAATCATTTTCATCTCTCTTAATCTATAACAGCAGGTGGAGAATTTGCATCTTCTAAGAATTGCAGACCAAATAAAGGTCTCCAAACCAGATGATGACCTCAGTAGTAATGCTTAGTCCCTGGCTTTCCTGTAAAACCTGTAGGATTTACTGTTTTACATATTCAATCTACTGTGAGCAAACCATAACCTAAGATTCGTAATTGTAAATGAGCATGTCTGATGTGATACACAAATACATGTATTTCTAGTTGACTGCATTATCCAAGTCCAGTTAAATCACACAGAAGGGTTATTTTATTTTTGTCAATTAGTATCCTTATTGTGCGAATCAAAATATTTTTCCAGATTAACCAAACAAATATAAAATAAGACCAATTAAATTCTTCCAGTTTAGGCAATTATCTTAAAGTAGTATTTACCTGATCAATTTATTGAGCATTTAATTAATGCAGACAGTTATTACGGTAACTTCTTCATGACCAAAGTTCCAGGATAATCCATGGTAGAATGGGATTAGCCTAGACACTTGTCTTGAAGTGGTTAATTTGCTTCTCTAAAGGACAAAATTACTCAATGGGGTGGCACTAATTTCTGACTCGGTGAGAATCGCTTCCCCCGCTGGCAAAAAAGCTGCCATCCAGCTGGGCTGTAACAGGATGAATGTATGCCTAATTTGGATTTTTGATTTCAAATGCAAATTTCTGTATTAACACCTTGAATGTTTTTCCAGAAACAAATTTACGTCACTCATGTAAACAGATCATGGACATGGTTAATAATGAGCATCCGTGGTTTGGAATGGAACAAGAGTACACATTGTTGGGGATGGATGGACACCCCTTTGGCTGGCCTTCTAATGGTTTCCCAGGACCTCAAGGTATTAACAGTGCCAACACTGTGTTCTTTCTAATCCCAGACACAAGACACTTTCTTGATTAGTATCGCCATTCTAGGCAGTAGTCACCTGGCACTAACAGTGTAATGGAATTCAGTTTAATTGTGAAATATGGGCAGACTTTGTGGGCCAATTGATTCTTATCTTCCATTACAACTAATGTTTCTTTGTTAACTTTAATGTCAGAGATGTATATTCAAAGCAGGACAAGGCCTGCGGAACCTCACACAAATAATACATATTTGTGAAAGCTGGTTTATTATAATTTATATGACTATAACAGCCAAGATAATCACCTTAACCTCTTAAGGACACATGACATGTGTGACATGTCATGATTCCCTTTTATTCCAGATGTTTAGTCCCTAAGGGGTTAAAGTGAGTTCAAAATGGAAATAAATTTAGTTTTCAGGCAATAAAGAAATCATTTTTATTATCATTGCTTCAATAAAGTACAATCTGAAACTGTACAAAATTATACAATTCAAAATCAACAATTTTAAATGGACAAAGAGGGGCACTTTCATTTTATGGGTGTTTGGAGACATGACCAGAGGAAGGGGTATTCTGAGAAATCTTGGCTTACTAATAGTTTTTGCAACTAAAATGTACTTTATAACAATTATAATTATTTACGCAGACTGATTTCTAAACATATTATTGTAGCTTAAGGACTCATTACTATGACAGAGTATTTTGGCCAAAAATAGGAACTACCCTCCTAAATAGGGACAGTTGCGCAGTATTGTAAATTTAGGCATGGGGTGCAAGGTGGGCTTTGTATTGATAATATAGGCTACATACAAATGTAAAACTAGCACAAATGTTTTCCACCCATCTAAAAAAATGTCTTTAGCTATAGAAATGTAGACAGATAAAGTGTAATGCACATAATACACCCAAAATATATTCATTGAAGGGACCTCATGGTTTTACAATATCCTATTCATATATCAGATACGCTGAGTAAAATCTAAAGTCAAGCACCCATAGGCATGTACAAGGGCTGTGCAATGTGTACCCAAGATTACTGTAATGCCGCACCAAATTGTCCTCCCTGTCCTTCAATTTAGGTCTCCACGTTGAAGCAATCAATCACGTCTAATTTTGTGAACACATACGTATTACTAGAGTATAAATGTGTATTTTTATTTTTAATGATACATTTGATGGCATTTTCTCTATACCATAATTCAATGTGCAATGAACACCAATGCAAAGCCTAAAGTTTCATATTAGAATAATTTATCCCTATTCATTGAGTTCTGCAGTTCTGTAAAGTTCCACAAGCTCTACTATCTACTATTATATTCTATCTAAGTTGTGTCTTTGCTAAAGCTCATTTGTTGTATTGTTTAACCTTTTACCTCATTCTCTGGTTGTTTCCAGGTCCATATTACTGTGGGGTTGGTTCAGATAAAGCCTATGGCCGAGACATTGTGGAAGCTCATTATCGAGCATGCCTGTACGCTGGTGTGAAGATCGCCGGAACAAATGCCGAAGTTATGCCAGCACAGGTAATTATTCCAAATATAGTATAATCTAGTTCAATACCACCTCCTACTAGATGTTTAAATGAAGATTTGAGCAGAGAAGACTTTCCATGTTGATGGAGTTCATGTAGTAATCATCTGGAAGATGAACTAAACTATGTTTGTTCAATTGACAGTGGGAGTTCCAGGTAGGACCATGTGAAGGCATCGATATGGGAGACCACCTGTGGATATCCCGTTTTATTCTGCATCGTGTATGTGAAGACTTTGGCATTGTTGTCTCATTTGACCCCAAACCTATCACTGGAAACTGGAATGGAGCTGGGTGCCACACAAATTTTAGTACCAAGTCTATGCGTGAGGAAGGAGGCATCAAGTAAGTACAATCAATGTAGCAAATATGTCTTAGTAATAGAATTACAGTTAAAGTCTAAAATTGGATTGTATTTGCTGAGAGGTGGGGATGGGGCTTTCAGACATCAACATTACATGGAACATTGCTAAAGAAAAAGGCTGTGAACTATGTTCCATGTAAGTATTTTCCAAAAATCGTCCAAGAGCTAAAACATTTAAGAAACTAATCGTATTAAATATGTTCCTGCAGTTTGAAATAAGAACATTGATTGTGAATTTAAAGATTCCTGTGTAAACTCTAATTGTGATAAAACTATGATAAAATAAAATGTCTTTGAGGGAATAATGGTTTTCAAATAGGTTATAGGAAGGGTATCACAGGGCATGATATTCTGGTAAATTTTATGGGAATCAGTTGGAATATGAAAAAAATTAACTACAAACTTTGAGTGTTTAGGTAAATCGCATATTAGAAATTAGGAAACCGAAAATAAATCTGAGAAACAAAATAACTGTATTGACTGCAATGTTTTCCAGGCATATAGAAGAGTCCATTGAACGTCTAGGCAAACGTCATGAGTATCACATCCGAAGCTATGACCCCAAGGGAGGTTCAGACAATGCACGTCGCCTCACTGGCTTCCATGAGACCTCCAATATTCATGAGTTTTCTGCAGGTGTAGCAAACCGTGGAGCAAGTATTCGGATCCCACGCACCGTAGGGCAAGAGGGGAAAGGCTACTTTGAAGACCGTCGTCCTTCGGCCAACTGTGATCCCTATGCTGTTACAGAGGCATTGATCCGGACCTGCCTGCTGAAAGAAACTGGAGAGGAACCTCATGAATACAAGAACTAAAGTAGACAGCTTGCCATCTCTGGCTGTTGTACTGCCATTACACTTGATCTTTTTAGCCAGTTCTGTTTCTGTTCTTCAAATCTGTCTTGAAGCACTGTCTATATCATGTCTTTCCAAGTCCAGAAAATGCCACTTTTTATAGTAGAATTGTGTAGAACAACTGCCCATATCTCTCATTAACTGTATGTACTGTATGTCTATATTCTTTGCAATCCCTGCAACTTTTTGATTGCAAACACAGTTAAGATAGATATCGGATGTAGAAACTCCAACTGATGTTTACACAAAATATGTAATATATGGCAACAAGTTAAAGGGGACAAGGCTATAACAGAGCCCAGTATCCGAGAACACTCACTTTCTCCACAATATTTTAGGGCTAATAAAATATAAACAAATTATATTACGATAGGAACAGGACTGGCCATAGCACTTTCCTGCAAGAGATAATTTTTGTGAACTTAAAAACAAGGGAACCTGTTCAAGCAGATAGCATATAGCTATCTATGGCAGGAAAGGATGTTAGGTGTTTTTGTTGGTTAATTTAATATAAATATGAAATCTTAATGGGCATGGGCACCAGCATTAAATCAACTAGAAAATTCAAACATAATGTGATTTTAAATTTTTTTTTATTTTGTTTCTGAGTACAACAGTACGCCTATATGACCGATGCATAGGTCATAATCTATTGTTAGTCTCAAATGGTGAAATAGGGAGTTGGGTGGAAAATAGGTTTATAGGTATCTGGGATGAGATCCTCCGCTCATTTTCAGTAAATAACCACTAACAAGGAGGGAGAATGAACTTCATCCAACTGTTTGTCAGGTACTTCCAGTAATCCTACTTTTTCCAGGGCCTATTCTTCTGCCCAGCTGTGACCTATTGTGAGCTTTCAAGTGAACCACGGCTCATTTTTAGTGTTTTGTCAGATGCTGTTTAGTCTCTAAAGCACTTGTTAAATGAAAATCCCTGTTTTTATTTGGGTCCATTTATGTAGTCATTTTTTATATTTATATGTAAATGTAGTCTTTTAAGCAATGGTTACATTATGTCAGTGTTTTTGGAATAATTAAAACTGTGCATGTCAGTGCTAAACTACTTAGAAAGATGGAATACTGAATTTATACTTTAGCATAAAATCTGACAAGATCCCAATCATTTTAGAACAGCAAAAAAAAAAACAAAAAAAACAAGCAACACCGTAGTCCACATCTTTTCATCAGAACATCTTAAGAGCAAGTCTTCAAAAAGCAAAGAATTATAGATAGTTGCGTCATGTGCTGCAACTCCACCAGCACTGTGGAAAACAATTAAATGCTTCTAAACCATCAACAAAGATGGATTGACAAATAATGTTTTATTCTTGAAAAACTTCCAGAACTGACTACTCTAGAAAGTTCTCACTATGCATTGATCTCCAAAATTCCAAAATTATTGCTCCCAATAAAAAAGTTAGTGATAGCATCACTTATTTTTCTTAAATGTTTGTGAAAACCAAGCTATATATGTTTTTTCAACAGGGATATAAATTGTAAACTTAAAAATGCTTTATCATATCCAGGCACACTTTAGATTTTCACTCAACGGCATTAAGGCAGGTACTCTTTATGAGTCATCTTGCCATGTTTTGGAATTTCTCAGTTATTTGTTACTTAAACTCTACGTGTCCTGTCATTTTTTGTAAGGGAGATATTTTGGGGAAACGGGATGTCTGTATGTTACATTTTTTCTTATACAATGCCTGAGTATATTTGGTGTATTAAGAGGCTCATCCGAAAGTTTTTATTAGTGGGGGGAAGGGGCAAGGAGATGAGCTGATATTTAAGCTTTTCCGTTTAATAGATTACGGACTCCATGCCATTATTCAGGTAGCAAACACTCATAATTAATGTTACCATTAAATGATAACATTTTATCAATCCTTATTTGTAATATTAAATAAACAAATAAAAAATGATGCAGTCAAAAATAACTTCATCCCTTCCCCTTTTCTTTCTGGGTTTGCCTCTGGTGTTAATAGCAGGTTAGGACCTACTGCTTCTAACTGGCTTCTCAATCTGACATAGTTTGGTTTTTAAAATAGATTTTGTTTTTCTTTTTATAATAAAAAAAACTAAATCTGAACATTTTGTGTGTGTGTTGATTTTAAAGTGTTTAATATGATGCTTTGTCGGTTTTCTACTTGCGCAATCAGGTTTTCTCATTTGTATGATTATTCATTTTAAGGACTATCGAAGGAATTACTATTTGTAGGTAAGTTGAAAACGCAGCTGAGTTTGAGATTTTTTTTTTTTCCTATTCGACTATTTTGAAAAATAAACTGCAATTCCTTTGTCAATTCCCCACAGTTGGTGAATGACTTTGGCTTGGTTCAATATTATTGGATAACTCTCTATATATTCAACAACAACAAAAAACTATATAAAAGAAAGTCCCTTTCTCAGCATTAATTTGAGTATGTGTGAAGGAATTTAGCAAGCACGGCCCTCTATGACTATTTAGCGGGTTTGAATCCACCACTTTGTAGTGCACTAGATAGACGGTCCAGAGAAGTTAGAGAAGTTCCAGAGAAGTTAGAGAAGTTCCCACTTTATTGCGAACTTCTCTAAAATTCCCAACATACAGTAGTTAACTATGCTCCTAGGAACCACAGTGATTTACATGTATTTTTCAGCATTGGGTAAGCTTTCCAAATAATTTAGTATTTTTGGCTAACTTTTTAAAATATTTTTTTTAAAAACATATTAAAGAATAAAAAATATATCATATATAGAAAGAGATATCAACATATTACAATTTAAATATTTTTCATAATATTAAATCAGTTAAAAAAAAATTATCCAAAAATATTACATCGTTTAGATATATTATCAAACAATATTAAATTGAGGCCTTCGTTGATGTTTCTAGAAGTTATTACAATCCCAATTTTCTTTGTTTTCTTGACATGGATAATGGTTTGGGGTTATTTCTCACACAGTTTTTTGCCACTTTCTATTATTTGCAGAATCCCTCAGATACGGAGGTGATAGGTTAAAAAACAGAATTAGAGCCTTAAGAAAATAATAGTATTGAAAGACTTTACATAAAAATCTACACACACTGCATAAAATATAACTGTGAAGAAAAAAAAATGCCTCGAAATGTGGTTTTAAACATGCAAAAGATAGAAAAATTATTGCATAACATTTCCCTTTCATATCCGGTACAAACACCTGTTAATGGATACATATCAAAAGTCTACAGTTTGATAGCAAAGTCAAATATGAACAGTAAATCTATTATGTGTGGCACTGTTTGTGTTATATCTTTGTTAAACAACCTAAAGTTAAACTGGTAATGACAAACTGTATAGGACACGAACGGTGCAAAGTAACAAGGATTATTCACATAGCCCAGGATTGTAGGGAATTAAAATTCAAAATTTATTTTCAGATAAAACTGTCAAACTGTAACTATAGCTGAGTTGGAATTGTATTTTTTCAATTCTGTACTTTTTGTCTAACATTTGCCTTGAGGTAAGAGTACTTCCGGGGGGGGGGGAAGCGCCTGGCACCATAGCAACTTCATTTAGATGAAGATGTTTGGGTGCCTGGAGTGTCCCTTAAGGAGAATATATATACAAATTGCAAATCACAGGACAATACAGTTGAACTAGAAAAATAACTGGAAACGTTTTCAACATGTTAGTTGTCTAAATTTCACACAATGCCCTAATGAATAAAAATCCACATGTTGCCAAATTTTAACATAGTGCATGTAGCGGAGCTGCAATATTAAATCCCAAGATCTCCGCTGGTACAGAAGGTAATCCAAAGTCAAGTGCTGAAAAGTAAGGCAATATCCCAAATTCCCCAGTAACCGGACAGAACACAGTTCTGGGAGTCAACTGAGGTTTTTATTCACAGGTCACAGTATTTATGCAAGTCCCCATGCAAGGGGTTTCCCTACTGACATTGCAGGGGTTATACAGTAGGGGACTACATGGGGGACTTAGCAACCTGGACATTTCTCCCATCAGGCACTGCTGGACGAGAGGGATACTCCCACTGGAATATACCGTTAAGTGGATTATCCCTCTGTGCAGCAGAACCAACATTTCACATTAAAATACATAACTTTTACTTCATTCACTTTATTTAAACAAATGGACGTTCGGTAGATAGCTGGGGTCTGAGCGCACAGTTCGTGAAAATACCACTCAGACCCCCGCATAAATAACCGAACGCTGCACGAAATACACTTTAACATTATGTTCACCTAAAAGTACTGAACACCGATGGGGAACCATAATAGTGAAAGACCGGATCTCCCAAACGGCCTGGAAGTCCAGCGCTGTTCGCGCCGTAGAGTAGCCGTTTTCAGTTCCACGCGCTCGACGACCAAACACCACTGGTGAAACAAAGGATCCAAGATGGCCAACCGCTGCGTGATTGGTAGCCGAAAGCTCTTAACTAACGATTGTAACATTGTTAACGAGTGCCACACGACCCTCTGTGTGTGGGCTATTGGGTGGTAGCTCATTCATTTCACGAACAGCCGGTAAAGTCTCTGTTCGTGAAACAAAACCCATGAATTCTAGCGCCTTTCGGCTGCTAGCATACGAATTCTATACACATAGCAGTACAGACCAATATTACAATATATAATCCAACTGTTATTGCAGACAACCTTTTGTACATATAGTTCAGCAACCCACAAGTGGCTAGGTTTGCCACAGAGCATGTGTTATAATTTATAGTACATGTTTTCAAATTTGCCACTGCTTTTTACCTCTGTTAACCTGAATTAAGGAGCTGAATATCTTGCTGTTGCTTACATACAGAAAACACTGACTGTGCTAGGATGCAAATTCTTTCCCACTCCGCTCCACATACTACCAGCAACCATCAGCCCACTGCAGAATTTGACCAGTAGCTAAGGGAAGTTAATGGAAGTTAATAGCAGCTAACAACTCCGATAACATAATCACAAGAGCCTTATTTACTCTCGATTTCCAGCATCAGAATAAGTTATATTTTAATATTTTAACATGTGATATTATTAAAGGGGAATTGAAAGTTAACACACTTTTCAATATTACCTTTATGCATCCCCTATATTTTACCAATATGTGTTTGTTTCATTGAAAAATAAAATATTAAATGTATAACTCCATACTGTTGTTTGTCTCCTATCCTTGAACTGAGTGCCTCCATCTTAACTCCCTGTCAATCATCTTTGTACCTGTATATCAGCGTAGAGAAAGGAAGAGAAGTGGAAATAATGTCTCTGTTTCTTCATCTCCAGAGCATTGTGTGCCCTGGCTGTATCTGGTATGAACTGGATTTTGATGTGATTTGCTAAATCTCTTAATATGTATTTTTAAAAATATAACAACTGTGCATTACATGTTTTATTCAATGGTGTAATTACCAGAGAAATGCCATTCCCTTTGTAAGCGATTGGAAGAGCCCTCACATTAAGATTATACAGAGTAATATGTTGGCACTAAGCACTTGGTGGGTGACACAAGAGGGACAAATATAAGGTAGGGAGGCTATGGCCTCCCTGAAGTGAGCTAAATACTCTGTCCACTGAAAACATGTGAATTTAACTTCCTTAATTATAGAGTTTTCAAGGACACCCTGACACCTCATCTAGCAATTATACTTAACCATCTGTGAACAGGTGAATTCCCCACAGAAAAAATAGAGGCATATATCCTCATTCTTTTAAAACAAGACGAGAAAGTAACATCCTGTCCCAACTACTGCCAGGAGGCCAGCAACTTTACTCACTTGCAGTCAGTTATGTGATGCTCCCTCATTCCGTCCCCCTCCTCTTCCGGTGATATGTTGTTAGTTTTCTTGTTTACATCCCTTCACCTTGGCTAGTTATTCTGCTACCCTTGTCTTTCGTGAAGATTGATCACCTCTAAGGACCAGTAACACATTTTTTATCTGTGTTATTTTTTTTTAAGCTTCATATCCTGTGTGTTTGAGTTGTGATTACCATGACAACTACATATCCAAACCTTTGTTGAATTGTGTTTTAAAATGATATATGACACTTCTGTCCAACTGAGTAACCCTCTTCTCCCTGCTTCCCAAATCAATATAGTCCATATGAACTAACCAAGATGGAATCATATGCCTCGCTTCCACTGAGCGGATAGGTTCGGTTTGGATCGCTATTTTGAGTGTTTCTATTATGAAAGTGGCTAAAACAACCGAACTGTACCACACCATTCAGGGTCCTGCTTCAGATGTAGGGCCATAAGAAATGGTACGGTTCGGTTAGGGCGGAGCGACTATACAATCCATTGATTGGTGGACAGAAAGAGCATTTTTTTCTAAACCCTGCATGGCCCCTGAAGGTCTGACTTGCAGTGGAAACGCTCACCAGAATAGACTGGACCATTCTAAACCTTCCAAACTGTACCGACCCAAACCGATCCGTTCAGTGGAAACGAGGCATTAGTATCCTGGCAAGTGAAACCATTCACTATCATATACACATGATAACATCAATCAGGATATGACTTAAAATATAGCTTCATCTATACTCTTACTTTCATCATGTAATCTTTATATTCCAAACCTTTATTCTCTAGATTAGGATTCCTGCCTCAACCATTCAGAATATCTAATTTTACTCACCTTCGGTACCCATTATTCCTTGTACAACTGGCACAGTGTAAATGCTCTGACTCACAGATTAAATATATCCAAGACAAATCAAAAGTCTGCTTTGTCTAATGATTTGGACTCGTTTTCTAATTTGGCTATTTTGTCAAAAATTTTGTAATTCACTTTGAAGCCCTCGAAATTGTGCAATAAATAAACCAATCCAGAAAAAAAAAACCATCACAGTATATAAGGAAAGGTTTGTGTGAAATAAAACAAAATTGGTGTTACTCAGGTTCAGAGATGAGAAGAAACTCCTAAACATGTGAGTTAAAAATATGTATCAATCCAATTTGTTTTGCTACAGTAATCTCATATATTAGACTAAGATTGGACAGAACAGACAACCATAAAAGGGGTACCAGGAAGCATTGATATTAATTCTAGCTATGTAGATCAGTTACTCTTTCTTCTAATTATGTTTTCTGTAAGAGTACAAAGGACAGCATCGAGAGAGAAGTACAAATAACCTTGGTATTGCCAACACATGTTGTGAAACATAGTTCCTGGAAATGTTTCGAACTTTTAGTGCTTCATCCACTTTACATGGTAACGTCTTGGCAGAAACATTAGAACGAAGCCTGTTTACTGGGATGATAAATCTTTGTGATACCGTGTTTTCACATTTGTAAACAGGTACAGTAAAATGTCATTTTTCTTTTGAAGCTCACCAACTTACAAGCCTCATAAGCTCCATGATATTTTTATAAAATAGTAGATTGTTCCATGATTAAAGATTTTAACAGACCAAGGGTAACCTGCGGCTTTGCATTATTGCATATATTGTTGAGCTACATTCCTCATCTTGGATCCACTACAGTTGTAGTGCCAAAAGTTAATTGCATTCATTAAGGGCTCATTTTCAATGATTTTGCTACTCTTCACCAGCCAGCTACTATGCGCTAGACATGTTTGTAAGGAAACCAAGTATATTTAAACCTATTCGGTAGTTTCCTCCCGAACCGCCAGAGCCTCAGTGATTATAGCTCTCTGTTCGGTAGATAGGGTAGACGAATCCAATAGTAATTCCCACAGCTTCACAAGATGATTCCTTTAGTGAAACACACGAATCCCCAAACATCAACCGAAGTCAAGAAGAAGGGTACAAAATGAACTGGCCTTTAATGGGTCCACACAGCTTTTATGCAAGTCCCCATGCAAGGGGACAGCCCTCAGGGAGGGACAAACATTAACCAATCACATACAGTAAAACTTTAACACACACCTACAGTTCCCTCCCCTAGCCCAGGAGATATTTCAGTCTGATAAAATATTAATTATCTCCGGGCTGAAAAATCACCTTTTTCCCCAATAACTGGAACACCCCTTTATACTTGGGATATCCCCATAAATATATGTCCCCTGATAGCCCTGATCTGGTTGACCAACATATCCAAATTTCACCCAGATCGGTTCAGGGGTTCGCAAAAACTATGGAAGTCTCTTGTGACCGGCTCACCCTGGGCTGTATGCCCAAAACAGTTCCATGAATTTGGTGGGTTTTGCCGGTCACTTTCGAAATAGCAGAAAAACGAACAAAGTACCGAATGGATCCCTCTGGCTCCTAGCAGCGTTCGTGCCCCTCTGTCGAATACACCGAAGTACCGAATAGCGCTCTCCTAGCTATTCGGTAAATAGAGTTCCAGCGTTCGTCTGTTTGGGACCGGTGTTCGGGTAGTCGATTGTCCGTTTTCAGTTCCATTCACTCGGCGACCAGGTCCTGCTGCCTTTTTTCGCATGAACAAAGATGGCTGCGGTTTTCTCTGCCACGTGGCGTTCGACTGTACGACCGCTGGGCGCACAGACAGAGGTAGCAATTTCACCAAACTTTGATGTTTAATGAGCCAGAGGGGTGGTCCTTGTTCGGTAGTTACATCTACCGAATGCAATGGGCAGAAATAGTGTAACAAAAAGGGAATGCAATGAGTATATATAATATAACAAAAGGGGACTTCTTCACAATGTTGTAGCTACTACCAGCAACCATCAGCCCACTGCAGAATTTGACCAGTAGCTAAGGGAAGTTAATGGAAGTTAATAGCAGCTAACAACTCCGATTATTCTCTATGTGAGCTGCTAACCATGACTTGGTTTCCAATACAGTAACTAACTCATAACAGGTTGTTTTCTGGTGCAAATAAGTTAAAAAAGTTAATTCACTATTCAACATTAAATTGAAACCCTAAAGCACATATGACACTATATTAAATCATATGAATCAGAAATGAAAAGAAAGGGAAAAAAGGAAAAGAAAAGGCCAGACACAAGATATATGAAAACATCTTTATTTAAAGGGACACTATAGTCACCAGAACAACTATAGCTTATTGAATTTGTTCTGGTGAGTAGAATCATTACCTTCATGCTTTTTGCTGTAAACACTGTCTTTTCAGAGAAAATGCAGTGTTTACATTACAGCCTAGTGATAACTTCACTGGTCACTCCTCAGATGGCTGTTAGAGATCCTTCCTGGGGCTGTGCTGTACTGCCATTCAGTGTCTCCACCCTCTGCATGGAGACACCAAACTGTCCTTGTAGAGATTCATTGATTCAATTCTTTATAAGGAGGTGCTGATTGGCCAGGGCTGTGTTTGAATCATGCTGGCTTTGCCCCTGATCTGCCTCCCTGACAGTCCCAGCCAATCCTATGGGAAGCATTGTGATTGGATCAGGCTACCACTTCTGATGATGACAACCGAAGAGGCAGATCAGGGGCAGATCCAGCACTAGCAGGCTGGAATAAAAGTATGATTATACTATATTTAAGGCTGCATGATGATGTTTTTAACACCATAAGGTCAGGAATACATGTTTGTGTTCCTGACACTATAGTGTTCCTTTAAGGGACAATAAAGGCACACAGACCGCTTCATCTCATTCAAGTGATCTGGGTGCAGTGTCCTAATCCTCTTAACTCTGCAATGTAAAACATTGCAGTTTTAGAAAAACTGCACTGTTTACATTGCAGGGATAATACTGCCTCTAGTGGTTGGG